CGACGTGAAACATTTTATAAACAAAAACGGGCATCTGCATCATTATTATCTTAATGAAGCCAGCAACGGAATAATTGAATAAAATAAACAAGAACCACTTGGTGGAACATACCGTGTTCAGGTTACGCTAATATATACTTTTACCAGCGCCGCGATCGATTTGATAGATTTTGCGTATATTTATCTTTTCACATCATTTTTTGAATATTTTTTTCATTGCATCGAAAATTTWGCATTCAGATTGCATTCGCATTATCCTCAGAGAATTTACAAGATGAAAGTTGCTTTGCATAAAATGATTTTAGAAAAAGAACGAGTATATTATAAAGTTAAAGAAAGAAAGAAAAAATGTTTAGAAGCTGCTCGAGTCGAGAATCAAACCCGAGATCGTCAGTTCAACGCCACTATTCAAGTATGATCATGCGTGTAAAATATGTAAAACAGATATTAACAGAAAAATAACAATAAGTATATTTCAGTAAAAAAAGAAGGAAAGAAAAACAGAATCGCTTAGAAGTGATCGAGTCGGGAATCTAACCCGCGATCCTAAGCTCGACGCTATTCGAGTACGATAGTCTGTGTCGGAAAATCAAAATAATTTCTTGAAAATAATTATTAAACAAAATCTGCAGAAAATCAAGATGAATATAAAAAACTATATAATATCTAAAAAGAAGAAGAATAAAAGTTCTCGTGACGAGATTCGAACCCGCGACCCTATGTTCGACAACGCTGTTCGAGTATAAAATAAAAATAAAATAAAGTCTATAAGTATCATCTTGTTTCTAAAATTTAAAAAAACGCGGCTCGTAAATAATAATAAAACAAATTGCTACGACAAAAATCTAACATGACTAGAATACTTATATTTCAGTTAAAAAAAAGAAAGAAAGAAAGAAAAAAAAGARTCTTTCAGACGTGCTCCAGTCGAAGATCGAACCTTGGAACTCTGGATTATATGTCCCTTGGGATTGCTAAACTGCGACGTGGAAATATATGAAAATAAATAAAGTCGCTGAATATTATAACCGTGACGCAGCCCCTGGACAAGGTAAAAATATGACATCACTGGTGAAAAACGCACTGCGCATGTCCACAGCTTTCACGCTGGCTATTTTCCTTTGTAAAGCGATTTTTGTGAAAGTTTTTTCACAAGTTATAAGCTCGTTCACCGATATATAAGATGCATATTCCCATCAATCATTGTTCATTATAGGTCCTTTTAGTATGTAGTTTCTATTTTTATCTTGAGAAAATGAGGTTTTTCCTAGTGTTTTTTGTGTTCTCTGTTTACAGATTTACAAGACGCGAGCGCCCACTGGCGGGAAAGCTATGGACATGCGCAGTGCGTTTTTCACTAGTGTCCATCACAGGGAAGGCTTTGGTATTCAATCAAAATGCATGTTCTATAGCCCGGTCACCAAAATAGTCCAAAATCATAAATTTTTGGTCAAAATGCATGGCCTATGGCCCACCAAAATTCGACCTCACTGCGCGATCTARAACGCTCAGATTCCATTATAATCGTTTTTGGAGGTAATAAACCATTTATAACAATTCAATAATAATCTTTATTGTTTTATTTTCTTTTGATGGATGTTCTGTAAACACTAAAAGAAATTGATTTTAATGAAAACTTACGCCTGTAATTGTGTCAACGTGTTTAACTTTGTCCTTTAGCTTAGACACGTTTTTGACAAATTACATATGAAGCATCACTTCATTGACCTCTACAGRACTTGGCAATGACAGCTATGTACACACAAGTGTACAAAAAAATAGATTAGCTTTAGAGCAACGTTAGTTAATCTACAAAAACTGTTACACCTTTTTTTGCACCAACGTTGTTCTTTAGAATGACTGATTTAAAAAAACCCGTGAAATAGATATTACACTATACACCTTATTATGCAACTTTCTTCTGTCTCTATTTGACGATCACACTAAAATCATTGTCAATTTTTGTTTCACGGTTTCAATGACTCTAAGCTATAAAAACACTATAAAAACCGTGAAAAATCAAAAAACGAAGCCATATATAGTTCATGTTTAACATCAAAAAACAAAGGAATTCGCATGATTCACTACAATTTAGCTCTTTTTAATTACATATATTTACAGATATTTTTTATAGCAAAATGGAAGGCCAATCGTTTTAAGAACACATTTATATATTGCACAGTCAACAATCATTAACATTTAATAATTAGTTTGAAATTTGAAAAATTAATATGCAGTTTGCATTACTCCAGTTTTGTATCCATAGCGAAAAACAAATTCGACAACAAATTCTCTTGCGCAAAGACTTGACCAAACACAAAAGAAAACTCGAAAAAATGTAGTTATTACAATAGCAATCGAGTTGAGACTAACCCTGTATTCCCATAAGACCTAAAGTACGTGCCTTTTGGGAGGAATATAGGGTTAGCCTCAATTCGGGGAAAATGTAAATCGATAGYGCTATTGTACTTAAACATTTTCTCGTGTTTTTTCTTGTGTGTGTGTGTTTGGTAAGTTCTTTGCGTAAGAGAATCTGCTGTCAAATAAAACATGCGGTTATTCGCTTTGAATTCGAAAATGAACCATTAAGTCTTTTTTAAGAATGGGACTGCCATCACTAAACTATCTACACATAATTACAGAAACGTTGTCCTGAGTTTAGGAAATTAAGAATACATTAACAGACAAAGCATGACYACTGAAGCCGAACACTTTCTTTTGTTTTTTAATTAATTCCTAAATAGTAAAAGTTCTTTTTACTTGGACAACGTTTGTGTAATTAGGTGTATACGGTTTTCATCGCTTTAGTGTTTGTACTTTATTGTGCTTAACAAAAAAAAAAGATTAACTTGAAAGCGTTTAATTTAGCGTTGCTGTCTATCAAGTAAGACAGCTATGTACACAACATTTTCCATTGTGTCAATGAATAATACAATGTGTTTTATATGGGCGGTGCCGTTGAACGAATATAAGAGCTGTGCTTTGATTGATAAGTGAAATCTGTCCATCGRTAACGGAGATATCACTATCAGCTATGAATTGTTATAATAAGATATCATTTTTACTCTTTGTACTCGGTTGCTTTGTGATAGCAATTTGCAGAGGTGGGTATTAGAATCATTTTCATCCGTCTGTGAAACAATACTCCAATTTCGAGTTCTGGTTTGCTCTGTGYTAGCCTCAAAACCAAGTAACATTTCTTTTGTTTCATTGATAGCTCGAGAAAACGCATGGAATTTGTGAAGAAAGACAATAGAATTGAGATTTGAAATCTCAAACTCTTATTCTCACAATTAGGAAAATTTTGCGCACAAATGAGGCTAACACAGAGCATTGGAGAATTCGAAACTGGATTATTGCTACTAGTCAGTGCTTAATAGTGACTATTAGGGTGTACTAGGCTACCAAAAGGAAAAATATCAAAACCGTTTTTGCCTTATTTGTTTGTCGCATGTCATAAGTTAAACTATATTGGTAGCTAATAGGGGATAAAAGTACTTAATAGTACAATTCCTATTTCATAAACGAATGAAAATGACTCCACTAAAGCTTGAAAATACTCACAACATAATTGATGTTGCGTCATATAGTTGTCCTATTTAAACAAATCCCGTGGAAAAACAAGATATTTATGTGTAGTTCGGGGTGCGTTTTAAATTGCCGAGTACCAAGAATGCTATTCAGTCCTTACGTCAAAGATATGAACTTTTTGAGCTTTATAGTAACGTGAATTTCTTGTGTTACAGGTGACCCTGATCAGTGCAAGGATGGAACCGACAATTGCGACAAAGAATCGACTCAGTGCAGGAACACAGACTGGGGATTCTATTGCAAGTGCAAGAAGGGGCATCAATATATTTCAGGAAATAGAACCCATTGCAGACGTGAGTAATACAGGTCATTGCTATGAACAGTGATAACAGCCACTCAGAGCTTGAATTATTAAATAATGATACGTTAAGACTTTTTTCATTTACTAATTCAGTTTAGTAATATAAATAAAAATATGTAATATATAGACTGAATATTCAATGGGCGCGCGTAGATACAGCTTTTATCTTCGAGTGTCTCACGAGTGAGCGTAGAGATTTYCAGTACRAGAAGATAAAATTCGTATCTCCCGGCGACCATACTTCCAAAAAATAAAGTAACCTCACCTTCCTTTTAAAGGTAGAGAAACTTCAAAAAATAAACAAATTTTCGAAAAAGAAATATATATAGGCGTTTCATAGATAATCGGTATGATTAAATAATTACCTAATTTGCAAGGAGCAAATATTGAAAGATGTTTTACGAGGGTTTGCCTTCGATAATTAACATTCAGYTCACCATAAACAAATATGTTTAGAGAAAACGTTTTTTTTATATTCTTAAAATATGCACACCAAATTATCAACGCAAACACAAGGGAAAGCAATGCAATTAGAGCGTACTTAGTTGTATTAGTGTAATATCTATTTCACGGGTTTTGACTTCACTCGAAAATCCTTTTGTCTTCTATTGTGTAATAAACACTATTTTAATAGTCTTTATTAGAATTAATTACTTAAAATTAGAAATTTAGTATTATTTGTTTCACGTCTTTAGTGCATCCATTGTAGATC